GTCAACATAGGTCAATATATTTCCTATCATAATTAAAAAAATATTTCTCATTCAAATACTACTTTAATTAATTATGTTTTCATTTATAATTCCAAATTATCATTGTTGTCTTAAAATTGCCAAGTGACTTTATTTTAGCTTGCCACTTGGCTTAACCACATTGCAAACTATCCAACTTTTAATATAATATAGAAACTGAATTATACACAAAATTTTAATTAAATATACCTAAAGTAATGTGTATTGTACACAAATAAGGTCTGATACAAAGCTTGTACTAAATAAAGAATACTTATTCATCAATCTTTAATTGATTAGTCAACATACGCTCTCTACCATAATTATAGGTTAACTAAATTATACTACACTATGTTATTTGTTTTTCGAATTAAAATTCCTATGATTCTTTCTAAAAAAAAAAAATCCTACCATAACTGAATTATACATAAAATTTTAATTAAAGATACCTACAGTAATGTAACGATCCGCCGGTCGTTTTAAGAATTTAAGTCTCGTTCGGTGGCATAAGGCCCTGAGCAGCTTCGTATTATGTGTATTGACTTGCGTGCATGGTTCAATTCAGTTACCGGATGATTCGGAGTGATTTGGGATGCTTAGTCCCTAAAATGGAAGCTTAAGTCTTAGAATTTTGACCGTAGTTGGAATTATGTGAAGACGACTCCGGAATAGAGTTATGTCGATTCCATTAGCTCCGTTGGGTAATTTTGGACTTAGGAGCGTGTCCAGACTATGAATCTGAGGTCTGTAGCTGATTTAGGCTTTAAATGGCGAAAGTCGAATTTTTGGAGATTTGGACCGGAAGTGAGATTTTTGATATCGGGGTCGGAATGCGATTACGAGGGTTGGAACAACTCCTTTATGTTACTTGGGACTTGCCTGCAAAATTTGACGTCATTCCGGGTTGATTTGATAGGTTTCGGCGCCAGTTTTAGAAGTTGGAAGATTTGAAAGATCTTAAGTTCGATTCTTGGTTCGATTCTTGGTTCGATTCGTAGTTTCGCCGTTGTTTGATGTGATCTGAGTCCTCGAGCGAGTCTGTATTAGGTTATGGAACTTGGTTGTATGCTTGGACGGGGTCCCGGGAGCCCGAGGTGTGTTTCGGACGAGTTTCGGATGGTTTTTCGTGGTTGTGAAGAAGTCTGCGTTCTGGTGTAATTGCGTCTGCGAACCTTGGGCGCAGGTACAATGGTCGCAGGTGCAAAGATGGAGGTGCAGGTGCGAGAAAAGCTGGACTTGGCAGTCTACGCAAGTGCGAAAAATTTGTGCGCATCAGCGGCTCCGCATAAGCGGATTCTGGAACGCAGAAGCGAGAGGAAGCGTAGGTGCGGTTGGACATGCGCACCTGCGGTTGCGCAGATGCGGCTAATTATGTCACAGGTGCGGTCACGTCTGGGCAGAAAAGAGAAATTCGAGGGTTTGATTTCATTCTTCATTTTTGGACTTGAGAGCTCGGAATTTGGCGATTTTTTAAAGGATTTTTAGAGGAAGCTTTGGGGTAATGTTTTCTAACTCATTTTTGGTTGTATTCCATTAATCTATAGTTATTTTCTCCATTTAATTTTGGATTTTTGGGGTTGAAATTGGGAAATATTTGAAGAACTTCTTCAATAAAGATTTCGAGTTTTGAAAAGGGATTTGTGGTCGGTTTTGAGTAATTCTTATATGGTTGGACTCGTGACTAAATGGGTATTCGTATTTTGTAATTTTTATCCGATTCCGAGAGTGGGCCCGAGTTGACTTTTTACGGTGAATTTCAGAATTTTTGTTAAAATATTGATTTCATTAATTAGATGAGCTTATTATGGTTGTATTCATGATATGCAATTTTGTTTGGCTAGATTTGAACCATTCAGAGTCGGATAATTGAGAAAAGGGCATTCTTACGGACTGATTGAGCTTGGTTCGAGGTAAGTATCTTGCCTAACCTTGTGTGGGGGATATTTTCATTAGGATTTGAGTCTTCTATGTTGATTGCAGTCCATGTACGCGAGGTGACGAGTGCATGCTCGGACTTATTTGTGAAAGGTTGGCCTTTTAGGATTCTTAGGTCCTTATATTCACTGAGTATAAAGTTGTTCTTGATATGATTAATTCCTATTTACTAGTTTCATCTCTACATGCTTTAATTAAAATTTAATTATTTCAGGATTTACTCTTATTGCCTATTTGACTCTTATTTTACTTAACTGAAGATTTTACCTCCTCTATTGTCATGCTATCTTTTCATAACTGCTTATCTTTATTTGAAATTATTATTATCTCATCCTATAATTTGTTCAGTTTTAATTAAGACTATGATTATCTTTCCGCTGCTTATCCTTAATTATTGAATATCCTTCGTAATTCCTCAACCTTAAAAGAAGTTTTAGATATCCTATATCTTAGTCAACTTGTTTTATTTGGAATTATTTGACTCATGTTAGCTTCCCTGTTGTTGAAATATATATTGTGGTATCGTTGCTACATATTAGTTTTTCCTTGTTGAGTTGATCTTTTTACGCCTAGCATTCTTTACTTTGGTTATTCCTTGCGAATTGGTCTGCTATTTCTTGTGATTTAAAGTTCTTGAGTTGATTTACTTGTCGTACTCTGTATTATTGTCATTGTTATTGTTGTACTTGTTATGGTGATGCACGAGATTTCTGCCATGCAGTTGTGGTTATTGTGATGCACGAGATTTATGCCGTGCGGTTGTTGTTATAGGGTTGCACGAAATTTCTGCCGTGCTATTGTTACTATTGATATTTGCACATGCGGCGTGACAAGGCGGGATATATATATGTGGGTTGCGTATATGGAGAGACAAGGTGGGAACATTGTTATGCACGTGTGGCGAGACAAGACGTGCACTTACTTTATTATTGCACATGTGGCGAAACAAGGTGGGCTGTGTCAGGGATTGATTTATGATGATTGTGATGGCCTGGGGGCATTCTTGTTGTTGATATTTGTGTAGTGGTACACTTACCTATGTGAGCTTTATTATGTTAAAGTTGTGAGAAAATATTTTACGTGTTGTCCGTTCTTTTTTTTTTTCTTATGCTTATTTTCTGGTATGGACTATGTTAGGACACTTGCACAAGCATACACGCAGTTAAGTACTCTTATCGGATGAGAGGTGTTCTCTATATTGTTGAGCATAGATACTCATGTGTGTTTACTTGCCTTCTATGTTATACTGGTTCTATTGGCCCGTGAGTGGTCAGTGCGGTTATGAGGTATTATGAGGGCACAGGATGCCAAGTGTTAGGGTTCAGGTATTGAGACCCGTGAGTTATGATTGTCCGAGGTTCGGTACCTCGTGGAGTTGATGACTAAAACCTGATGTAAAAGCAGTTGTAGTTGCTGAGTTATTACTTGTCATTGCTGTATTTGTGATTCCGGATTTAGGTTGTATTCCATTCATTTTTCTATGTCATTTTTATGGTATTTCGCTGATACTTGTTGTTTCCTTTCTTATTGTCATTACTGTATTGTGAGCCATATTGCATAGTCCTTATGTAGACTGTTCCTCGTCACTACTCCACCGAGCTTAGTCTTGATACTTACTGGGCACCACTGTGGTGTGCGCATTCTACACTTCTGCACATTTTGTGCAGATCCAGGTATTGTTCGTTAGTAGCTGTGCGAGTCGTTGCTGTGGAGACTCAAGGTAAACCTGATGTTGTGTTCGCAAGCTTCGGAGTCACCTTCAAGTTTTCGTTTTGCACTGTTATTCTTATTTCTGGACAGTTGTATTTAGAAGTTTTCTAGAAAACACTCTGTAGAGCTTATAACTTATACTACCGGTTTTGGGAATATTAAATTTTTAAGAGATTTCTATTTTCAAATTGTTAGATGTTATTTAAATAATGTTGTTGTTTCAATTAATGTTAGGCTTACCTAGTCCCTAAGACTAGGTGCTATCACGATACCCAACGGAGGGTAAATTGGGTCGTGGCAAGTAATGTGTATTGTACACAAATAAGATCAGATACAAAGCTTGTACTAAATAAGCTATTCTATGTTATTTATTTTTTGAATTAAAATCTATATTTAATAATATAATATAGTTCTTATTAGTCAACATATGTCAATATATTTCCTATCATAATTAAAAAAAAAATTCTCATTCAAATACTACTTTAATTAATTATGTTTTCATTTATAATTCCAAATTATCATTGATGTCTTAAAATTGCCAAGTGGCTTTATTTTAGCTTGCCACTTGGCTTAACCACATTACAAACTACCCAACTTTTAATATAATATAGATATAGAAACTGAATTATATACACAACTTTAATTAAAGATACCTAAAGTAATGTATATTGTACACAAATAAGGTCTAATACAAAGCTTGTACTAAATAAAGAATACTTATTCATCAATCTTTAATTGATTAGTTTACATACGCTCTCTACCATAATTATAGGTTAACTAAATTATACTACCCTATGCTATTTGTTTTTCGAATTAAAATCCCTATGATTCTTTCTAAAAAAAACAAAAAAAAAACCTACCATAACTAAATTATACATAAAATATTAATTAAAGATACCTACAGTAATGTATATTGTACACAAATAAGGTCATATACAAAGCTTGTACTAAATAAGCTACTTTATGTTATTTATTTTTCGAATTAAAATCTATATTTAATAATATAATATAGTTCTGATTAGTCAANTACATATTTAATAAATTTTAACATGCAATAATAGGTTAATTTACTATTTTTATGGAAGACCAATTAATGCTTATCAAAATATTCACGCTCCTTACCTTATAAATATCTTAATTATATAATTGTTTTACACTCTCAATACATAGAAGGAATTGTTTTTTACACCATTACTTCATTTAATTGTAGAAGGAAATTTTTAATCAAGGAAAAAGAAAATAATTTCCATTTAAATATTCTAGTAATATTCTGTGTCTTCCTCCAACTTAAGACACTATATAAATCCCATCCTTTACTTCCACTCAACACCATCATAAGTTTTCCGTTTCAATTCCCACTCTTCACTCCTCAAAACTCATCAAAATGGCGCTTCGTCGGGCTTTAGCGAAACGCCTAAACAATACCCTGAAGAGGGACCCACTTCCATCGGTAACGGGTCTAGATCATTCTCAAAATCATTCCACACCAACCAAAACCAGCAAAATATCGCCAGTTCCGGCGAAGTCGCCGGAGTCTATTGACTCCGCCTTATTCCGCCGGTTCCTCCAAAAAAGAGAAATCAACCATGCAGCTAGACTGCCGGAATTTTTATCTATTCCTATGGGAGATAAATTGAGAGAAAAATTGAGGTCTATGAATGTTACCGGAGAAAGGATTAGATTCGAAGGACTAGCTCCACCTGCTCCGGCGACGGAGACGGCGGATTTTCCGGCGGAGACGATGGGAAGAATAACGGTGAATGATGCTAGGAAAATTTTGAGGTTTTCACAGTTGGAGAAAGTGAGATCGAGACTTAGAGAGATACCGATGAACTCCATTTCCTACTCCAAATTTGTTGAGATCTGTAGTGAAGTTTGTAGCAACAGAGAACAGGGTTTGGAGTTTGCAAAGATGTTGGACGAGTCAGGCAGCGTCATCGTTTTTAGTGACGTCGTTTTGCTCCGTCCCCATCAGGTAAAAGTTCTATACTTTCTTTATTTTGTGTCTTTCTTCTAAAAAAATATTATATTATCATTTATTATTAGAAAGTCAAGCAATTTATTGGATTATGATTTCTGCTACAATATATATATATATATATATAACAACATGCTCGCAAGTTGGCTGAATAGTTTCCCACATGAGAGACCTATATCAATCTACCTTACAAGCAGTTTCCTCAGCAAGAGCTTGTCGCACAAGGCTTGTCTAGTACGATTTATATTTTCTATATGATTTGCAAGCCATGATTACCTAGTGCACACCCGAAGGGTAGCGACTGTCGGTTTCCCTGAGAATTTAAAAATAATAATAATAATTTTATGACGTAGGGTTTGGAAGAATAATGTGTACGCAAACCTTATTCTTTTTGTTAAGGTCGAGAATGTTTGAAATAGACCCACGCCATATATTTGACCTAATGGTGTAAAAAAAAAAGTATATAAATTAACTAATCTTATGATGCTCTTGATGTGTTACAGGTGGCAAAATCAATGGACAAAATAATATCAGAATCGATAGCATCACCAAACGACCCAAGAAGAAGAGAACTTGAAAATATGGAAAAGCAAAAGGCCTTAATTGATCAAAAGGCCCAATCACTAGTCAAAGGCGAACTTTATTGTGGGCTGGGCTTTCTAATTCTTCAAACATTGGGCTTTATGAGGCTAACATTTTGGGAGCTGAGTTGGGATGTAATGGAACCCATTTGCTTCTTTGTTACCTCATTTCACTTTGCCCTTGCTTATGGATTCTTCCTAAGAACATCAAAAGAGCCTACATTTGAAGGGTTTTTCCAAAGACGTTTCAAAGTGAAGCAAAAGAAGCTAATTAAGATTCACAATTTCGATCTTGAAAAGTATAATAAACTTCGAGAAGCATTTTATCCAACTTACTATAACCAACCATATTATGGTTTCTCGTCGAGTTCGATCATGCAAGAAGTCTAGTTTTTTTGTACTATGCATGGTTAAGTATGTATATAGTTGATTTTCTTGAAAAAATGGAGAGTATGTAGAAGATGACATGATGATGATGATGAAAATTTTGTGATGTTGGATGTTAATTGTTATGTTTCCTCGAGAGTATGGAATGAGAAACTTTAGAATTTAGATATCAAACTTGACATCAATACCATCTCTTTTGAATTACGATAATATTCGTTGGGTGTACATGGACCAGGTTGGTCTGATTTTTATCAAAATCAAACCAAATCAACTATATCGGTTTGGATTGGTTCGGTTTTGTCGGATTTTTCGAGTTTTCAGATTTTTTGTTACTTAAATATTATTTCAATCTTACTTTGTTAAATATTTGATAAGTAAATATATATTTAGTAAAAATATAAAAAAATTGACAAACATATTATCGATTAAAATATTCTTATAGGAGAATTCTATTAGTAACACATAATAGTTATTTTTTTAGTCGACTGACAATAATTTTTTGTTGATGTACACTTTTAGGTTAATCGAATCTAGTAATTAAATATAAAAATCAATATGATACCTAAATATTAACAATCACTTCAAATTCGAAAAAGATATAAGAATTTAATAGATCTTAACATATGATATGAATATGGAAGAACAAAGAGATAAACGCATTTCAGTAACACTTGATAAGAAAGTAATCATACAACCCATTATTTAAGGTCAATAAATATGGAGCGCTTCATATTCTATTAAAATTTATACCCCGCAAAAGAATCCCAAATATTTCTAGACATTTTTTAAAGAAAATTCTATATAAAATATTAAAATTATATTTAAAAATTATATATTTATATGTCGGGTTGGTTAGGATTTTTTTACTCAATACCAAACCAGGTCGGATTTTTTAATCGGTTTGGTTTGACTTTTCGATTTGTGCGGTTTTTCGATTCGGTTTGTATACCCCTAAGTATTCACGCTCTTAAACTTTCTTCTAATGTTACAAGTTATGGGAATGTTTTCACGTTCCAAGCTGCCGAACAGACCTCACAAATTTGTCTATTGGGCTACACTATCATCGAGCCTAAAAACGTGTGTACTATTTGGCCTTGTGTTGTGCCTTATAAAACTTTTTATCTCTCCTATATCATTCCAATGTGGAATTCGGCTAGGTGATATGTGTACTCTTTTTTCAGAAGTTTGTCAACCTAAAAATCTGTCAGTCCTACTTAATCCGCCTCGCCGGCCCGCCCTCCGTCGTAGACATCACAAATGCTTTACCAAATAAGTACCTAAAAGCATGTCAGTCCTAATCAACCCAACCTCATCGGCCCGCATCATAAATGTTTTACCAAATAAGTTTGAGTGATTTCAGCTTTTACCAATTTTCGAAATTTGATATCAGAATTTTGCAATTTATCAAATTATTTGACCTTTACTTCTAAAAAAGAAAAAAGAAAAAAAAGCAAGTGCAAAAGAAGTTGTAAAATACTTGTGTCTTCATCGTTATGGTCCCATCTTTTTTCCTTGTTAACAATACAAAAACCAAAAACCATCTCTCTCCTCTAACTAATTCCCTAGCCACTTTGATCCCTATCGCATACACTCTTTATTTTCACTTTACACGTTTGTTCCCCCATTCTTTCCTCTCTTGTCTTTTTACACCCTCATCTTTTCCTTATGTCTTCTTTCATAACAAATTCCACACATCACGACACTCAAAAAAATTTAAGAAACACCCACAGGCCATCTCTCCACCCCTTTTCTTTCTTATTATTTTTTGAAGAATTAACTTAAATAACAACATATCAAATTGTTTAAAGTAAAAATAGTCAGCGAACATATAATCTATGTATAATTCATGTGTAATGTATATATAACTATGTATAATCAGTATATTTATGTTAACTGGTTAGAAAAAGTAAACAAGGAATCCGATTGGCTATTTATATAGAGATCCATATTGATTTTCTCAAAAAAGAACTTACCTATCCACTCTCTCTCGACTCTAATTGCTACTTATTTAATAGTATCTCATTGAATTTTAAACATAAAAGTTGCCACTGCCAAAGTGCTTAACATCATTTTCATTACTTAGCAGTTCATATCACCTTTCAAGGGGTCCTCTATCATTGTCACAATTTTAATTTTATGTGATTGTATTTGGTTTAACATGCAGTTTAGAATTTCAACTTGATTTTTCTATCATTTCACCAATTGCGGAATATATGAAATTTTCTTCGATATAGAAAACTATGTTAATGCAAAAGTTATTTAACCAAAAATTGGTTTCATGGGCCAAATTAGTTAAATTTGTATTTTTAGGGCACAAACAATCAACTTGACTCACTTTCTCTAATATAAATAATAAAAATTGATAATAACAGCAAGTAAAGAAATCAAATATAAAGAAAATGAAAAACAATTCTTACTCATTTTCCAGATCACATTCTGATTGATTCGAGCACAATGCAGTTATATAGAGGGAATTGTAAAATGATTTCTCAGATGCTATACAATATATATAGGGGAAATGGGATTTAAATAGCAAGATTTCCCCTAATATCTCACCTATCGATTAACTACGTTTTGCGCACAGTACGTTGATAATTTGTAACTGCTCAGTGAGGTATACCAAATCTTGCTTTATTCCGGATTAATTAATTCCACTCTTTTTAAAATTACAGTACTAATGGTCCCGTTATCAAATACTCCCTCCCTCTCATACTAACAGTCGTGGTTACTAAAAATAGTTGTTTCAAATTAGTTGTCATTTTAGAAGTTCAAGACAAAACTGATTATTTTTTTTCCTTTTTTAAGTAATAATTATTCTTGATGATGGAAATAACACATAAATAAAATAAATATTCAATAAAAAGAGATTATATCATATGACATAAATAAGGGTAAAATAGTCCAATTCTTTTTCTTTTTAAGGGGCGTGTAAAAGAAAAATATGACACATAATATGAGATTGAGGGAGTAACTCTAAACTTGACTAATCTCAGACTCATCCTTCCGCAACCTTTTAATGCTCCTGACACATGTCAAGGTTTGATTAATCCACGTACCGTGTTTATTTTTTTACCAATATAAAATTAAGCCTTTTGCTTGTTTGGATAAATGTAAAAGATAAAGTAGTAGCACGAAAAGAATTCCAGTTGAAACATCACTTAAACTGAAAAACTAAGTCAAGATATAAAGAGACACCTACAGTGTAAGACAGTGCTTTAAGACAGTTCAATATATATTTCCTATATCTTCTCAAAATTATCAAGAACAACAACTTCTAAGATTACAGCCACCCAGTTGTGATTTTCCTATAAATAGTACAATAAGATCGTTCTGTTTTCTCCTAGGCAATGACAAATAAGATAAACATATCGTCAAATGAGTCCTGCAAGTTCTCTTTCTGATAAAGGCATATCAAATACACAAGAGCATCATGTCCCTCAAAATTAAGCAGCTTTGTACTAATTACATTCCCACACTTTTTAAAAAATTTATATTAAAAATTTTTTGGGAAGGTTCACAGTAACAGGGACTATAGATTCCAGCAGGAGCAGCTTAGATGTAAGTATCGTTATTCTACATGATAACACAAAACTGTTAGTTTGGGTAAACAAAATACCAAGCCATTTTTTTTTAAGAATTTAAATTTATTAATAGATTCGAGTGTGCCGGTCATTCACACCCTTGACACGTGCATCAATTTTCAAACACAACATATGCCACATTGCTGGTAAAACTGTTGCAGTTCACATTGCAAGTAAACTTTTGCTGTAGAGATGAATTTTTTTAAAGATTTAAAACTGTGAGAACTATGTTACTTTAAGAAATAGTACATATTTTAAGAGGATGTCAAGAAGTTGGTTTTACATTCATAAAAATGCATTCCCCAAGTTCAAAACAGACTTGGAGTTGTTGATCTCTGTAGCACTTCAAAAGGAAATTATCTAGTCATTAATCTTAGTTATTGTATATCTTAGAATAGTATCTGATTAATATTATGATATGCATATTCTGAAATACAAAAAGAAAGAAATCTGGTAAGATACTTCAATAAAGTAACACATTGCTATTTTCGTGCAATTGTGAATGTGAAGTGAGTTCAGACAATGCTCAACATATAGCAAGAGATATATCGCTACCTATACATACACACACTTATCATTTATAGATGTAGGTTGCTCAATTTCTGGAGTATGTGTCTGCTTCATCTGTAATCTATTGAACACCTGATGATACTTCAGTCAACTATTTAATTGCATGTGGATCCATTATAAATTTTAAACTATGCATTTAAATTACCAGCAATCAGGAGACATACTAATCTTTTTTTAAAAGATAAATAAGAATATCATAAGATTATCATCTAAGAGGTCAATGATATAGATTAAAATCTCATTTCATATTTAACACATAATTGAAAAGGTTCGCAAGCTTGAGCAGTGCACCTAGACTGTTATCTATATTGTGTAGAATGATACAAAAAGTTAAATGTGATAGTTTAATACACATCACATCTTTTTTATGCCATCTCATTACAGTCAGTGGCGGATCCAGGATTTTAAAGTCGTGGGTGTTCACTGATAAAAATTTTGAAAGAAGAGGATAAAGGAGTTTAGTTATAGGTACTAACTCAATATTTATCTAAATATTTTTATAAATACCTATACAAATTTACTAAATCTTGTTAAAGATAATGGGTGCTTGAGCACCCAAAAATAACATGTAGATCCGCCACTGATTACAATAGTATTTATCCTAGTAAATACCTTATCCTTTTATATATGTTTGAATTATGCGTACATGTAAAGTAGAGGAAAAAATAAGCCTCAAGGAGAGAACTTTTTGGGCTTTCTAAATGACATTGAGTTTCCCATTAAAAGAGTATAATCCTTAATAAGATTTCTACACCTATGACACATATATCAACAGTAGTAAAACTAATTAGTAGAATCATGGACTCCTTTCCTAAACAAAACACACCAAATTCTTTACAGGCATCTAGGATAAACAAAAGTGACAATATCAAGGCTCAGACAATCCTCTGTATGAATGTAGATTAACCTAGTTACCTCCTTACAAGTCCTTTTCAGAATATCCATATATAATTGACATCCATGAGCCAAGATCCTCAGAAAGCATCTTATCAAACATCAGTAGAGCGATCTCCGTTATCCCTGTTGTGCAATAACCTGAGTTGATTAAAACTTTAACTTTAAAAGCATAGTAATTTAATCTACAATTAGATTCATTAAATAAGCAACAATATTGACACAAGAAATGAATCCAATAGGTAATAATAAATATATTTTTCTTATTATGTAGAAGATATTATTTTTTATCCTCACATAAATCATAATATTATTATGCTTCTTGGATCTTTTTCAAAGACCAGATGATATTGAGGGGGTTAACACAGAGAGCAACAACTTAAGTTGGATACATGTCCCTATGTAATTTTTTGACGCTCAATAAAGGTAGAAAAACGAAGTAGAAACACACAATGTCATTTATTTGGACAGTCTTAAGCTATCAACTTTCATGTCTACCCTATCCGAGGAAAGCTCAAATCTTCTAATGCATTTGCAACTAAGATAGCACCCTCATCTTTCAATTCAGTCTCAGCAAAGTTTGAAACAATAAAGTTAGAGCAGTAAAAGAAAGGGGAGAAGGAACTGGACTAATAATATCTATGGAATCTTAGACATATGCAAATCAGTGATAAACCAGAACATGCATGTATAAAATAGGTAAGAAAACAGGAAATATAAAAAAAATAAAAATCATAAGTACACAAGAAGAAGACACGAATAGAACATGACAAAAGTATAAATCAAATTAACACCCAATTTCAGCCCCAAAAAGAGTTGAATGAAGCATGTTTATGAGGTTGTCATCTTGAAACCATCTTCTTATAAATGAAATAGAAATGTGTCTGAAATTCGTAAGTACAATCCACTTTTTCATATATAAGTATGAAATACCAATTAATAAAAATAATGACAATCGATATGAAAATGAAAATTAAAAAAAAAAAAAAGGTTCTTAATAGTTTTCTCAGGAAAAAAGAAGTTCATTTATTACCTCTCAATGTGAGCCGCACACAGATCACTATAAAAGCAGCTTCTTTGCATCCTTCACCCGTTTATTCCTCTTGCGCTCCAAAAAATCCTATTTGCTATTTAGTTGCTTAGTTGCATTGAATTTTTAAAACCCCAATTTCAAATCTTAGGTTAAAATCTAAAAATTTTATTAAAGTAAAAGAAATTACTCACATGCAACACTTCAAAAATCAAAAAGAAAATAACAGCAAAATGAAGAAGAGGGAAAAAAACAGAGAAGAAGAACATACCATTTTTTGTAGAAGAAGAAGGAGGAATAACTAAATGGCTGCTAGTGAAGTGGAAAATGGAAAATGGAAGTGGAAGATAAAAATACAAAGAGCAACACATGTCATGAAAATGAGGAGAATGAAATGGCTGATATTGAAAAGTAAAATACAAAAGTGCACATGACAAACAATTGTAATTACCATTTTACCGGTGTTCGTCCATTTTTAACTCAGTTCTATATAATAGTAAATTGGCAGAATGGAGTTATAGCACTAGAGAGAGAAGGTCTACCTTCTCTCTAAAATCCTACTACCGTTCCTCCATTTCATATTTGAAGAATGCAAAATCCTGAACCATCTTTGCAACAGACAACTCAAATCCCTCCAAAACCACCGGATATTAACAATCATATACCCACCAACAGTAGCTCCATGGCTACACACGACTCTACTCCAACTTTTAAAGACAAGCTACTATGAGATACACACTCGAACTTTATCTCTATGGAATGCTTTGAGGATTTAATTGCACCTATGGAGATACATGAGCTAGATGACAAAGGTATTGGCGGAGATGAATCAAAAAATGCAGATCACATGGTCACCTTATCTGTTGAAAATATGCATAGGATCTATCATCCCTGGAGGTACTCAGTAATTATCAAATTAATGGGTAAGCGGATCCTCCATAACTATATTTGCAAGAAAATTCAAGACTTACGGAGGATTAGTGAAAAATTTTCGTTAATTAACTTGGGTGCTTATTATTACATAGTAAAGTTTGGTACAGAGGAAAATATGAACAAGGCATTACACGATGGCCCCTGGTTCATAAATGGGCATTTCCTCTCGATACAAAAATGGATACCAAACTTTGTTGCTTCTCAGGCAAAACAGCAAATTGCCGTTGTATGGGTGCGTCTCCCACAGTTACCAACTGAGTTTTATGATGCCATTATATTAAGGAAAATTGGGCGTTTACTAAAATTGATGCATGTACATCAGCAACCTTGAGAGGACGTTATGCAAAACTTTGTGTGGAAATCGCTTTAGATCAGCCAGTGAAGTCATATATTTTCATCGGTTCTCATAAATAACAAATATTATATGAGGGTGACAATTTCTTATGCAAACTATGTGGAAGATTAGGTCATTCATCCCTACAGTATCCCAACTCTGTTCCAGAAAAATCAAGAAATAATACGTTGCAACAAAGCTCTCCACAAATGTCAAAAGAAACAGATGGTGAAAATTGGCAGACAGTGGTGTTCTCTAAAAGAAAGAAGAATCCTCCAAGAACAAAGTCTGAATCAATCCAGAACACACATGATGCAGGTATTAATGTTAAAATCTTTGATGCTACCACAGGTAAGTATCTTAATACTCAAAAACTAAAATACAAAGGAAAAGATCCTCTCCCAATACATGACATAGGCATAAGGAAATCTCACTCAATCCCTGCTAATATTTCTAGTTCATTTAATTCTGATCATCATTATATAAATAATAATTCTAAATTACCTTCTAATAACCAGCCCACTATTTTGGAAAATATCACCCACAAGGTAAATCCACTTAATGAAACCAACCAATGCATGTCAAGTTGGCAGGACACACTAGATAAGAATAACAACCATGTGGCTGGATCCTACAATGACAAGCTTAGTCCTACTACTAATGCAAATACTACACTTAATGATAATAGGGATAAAAATCATTTGTACCAAGCCAATGATGCTTCTCAAAGTAGGAACAACAACGTGACTATTAGTCTTAATAATGATAATATGGACGATACTTCCTACAAGGCTAATATCCCTCCAACTCAACAACACTTATCTCTTGATAATCCTAGCAATGAACAAGTGTTGGTTGATATTAACCAAGTGTCTAGTACAATATTTGAACACTTTTTTGAGTCCTCTAGCCACGAACATGGACACAATTCTAATCCAGAACATACAGAACCTTTGGAACCTTCCTACTCCCTTCAATCCATTCCTACCGAAGGACCCCAATCCATTAGGATCGAAGGACCCCGCCAATATATTCCCACTTCTACCTGGCACAGACTCAAAAATAAAATAGCAACCCAGCCCCCATGAAAACGCACCCCCCTCAACCACCCAATGCTCAAGAACTAAGAAAAAAAGTAACAGAGGAACCAGAGGAGATACCTCCTCCAAACAGGAGGTTGAGAATCAAGTTTTCAAACATAAACGAAGTCAAAGTCTCACTCTTCTAGGCGAGGCACGACTTGAGGCATGTCTTCAGTTGTCCAATTGCACTATACAGGTGCACAATGAACATAAAGACACCACAAGATCTAACAGTAGGAAAGTTGGCAATAATCATAATACCATGCCAATGGAGAAACCTATCTTCTCCTATGGGGGAGGAGGGGAGTGTCAACCTACAGAATCCAAATCCCAGGATGAATAGAGCTACAACTATTATCATTCGGAACACTAGGGGTGCTAACAATGAGAACTTCCGTAGGAACTTTAGAGATATGATAGACACACATAGGCCTTGCATGGTTACTTTACTTGAAACTAAGATGTCTACTCACACCTCCCTTCTTAATGATTTTAATTTTACGGATATGATCGAGGTCCCCGCAGAGGGAAGATCAGGAGGAATGGTTATTCTGTGGGATCACAATATGGTCACTGTCCAAAATTCTATTAGGCGAGACCAGGAAATCCATGCTATGGTTGAGATACTTCCTAAACGCTACTCTTGGATTTTTTCTTCCATTTACGCTAGTAGTAGTAAGACTATCAGAAATCTACTTTGGAAGAACTTGAAAAATATTTATGACTCCTATAAAGGCCCGTGGTTAGTAGGGGTGATTTTAACGACGTTTTTATGGTTGAGGAGAAATTTAGTGGTAAACCTATCAGTCTCAATAGGTCATGCAAACTATGGTCCAGCATAAATTATTGTAACCTCTTTGACTTGGGATTTAAAGGAAGTAAATTCACTTGGTCAAATCATAGAAAAAAGAGAAAAAGTCTAATTATGGAATTATTAGACAGAGTGTTCTGTAATGATAAATGGGCTACTCTTTTTCCTGAAGCCTCAGTTACCCACCTGCCCAAAACCCACTCAGACCATAGACCTTTGTTAATCAAGTTGAACTCTATGCCTAATGGAAACTACGAGAAACCTTTTAGGTTAGAGACAATTTGGTGCTCATATTCTGATTTCATTAATGTGGTTAATTCTAGTTGGAAAGATAATGACTGGTGTAATGCTGCTCGATCTTTTAGAAACGATATTTTGGAATGGAAAAGAAAAACTTTTGGTGATCTCTTTCACAGAAAAAAGAGACCTAACGGTATTCAAAATTCTCCTAAATTTTTTACTAGTAGATTTCTTCAACAATTAGAACAAGATTTAATGTATGACTACAATAATATCCTTAAGTTAGAAGAAGACTACTGAAAACTTAGATCTAGAATTTTGTGGCTTAATGAAGGTGATGCTAATACTAAATTTTTTCATATCACTGCCACTAATAGGAGACGAAGAAACCATATTACTTGTTTTAAAAATGACGAAGGTCAATGGATTGATGATCACAACTCCTTGAGGGATCACACTTTGAAATACTTTTCAGAAATATTCACAACCTCTCATCTTCAAACAAATTGGTCCAAAATCCTTAATGACCCAGTCTCTTTCAATAATCCAGATCTGTCCTTATTAGACTATTCCCTACTGGATAATAAAGTCATTAGGACTGTTTTTTCCTTTAAACCCTTTAAAGCTTCAGGACCTGATGGCTTACACCCATTCTTCTTTCAAAAATATTGGAAAGTGGTGGGATAATCAGTTCTACAATTTTGCCACAATGTTTTCGCTACGCAATCCTTTCCTGAATCTATCAACAATACCTACTTATGTCTCGTTCCTAAAATTCCTAATGCTAACAACCTAAAAATCTTTTGACCCATAGGCTTATGTAATACTATTTAGAAAATTATTACTAAGATCATTTCTAACAGGATAAAGCCTTTTCTAGATAATATCATTAGTTCCTTCCAAGTCAGTTTTTTTTAAAAATAGAAGGGCTTGTGACAATACTATCATTATTCATGAAATCCTTTCTAAAGTCAATCACTTTAAGGGTTCCAAAGCTTTTATGATCCTTAAAATTGATTTAGAAAAAGCTTTTGATCGACTTGAGCGGTCTTTCGTTTATCGAACCCTTAGACATTTCAAGTTCCCCCCAAGATTACAAAGCTGATCATGACATGTATTACTACAAGTAACATCTCTATCCTAGTAAATGGATCCAAGGCTGCCTTTTTTAGTCCTAGCAGAGGCATAAGGCATGGCGATCCTATGTCTCCGTATATCTTTATACTGTGCATGGAAATGTTGTCTAGATACATTAGTCATCAAGTAGATATTAGGAATTGGGACCCTATATGCCTCAATATGTTCTGTGACTTATCAGGCCATAAGATAAATTATTCCAAATCCAAAATTATTTTCTCAAAAAATTATCCGAACGACACTGCCAAGCATATTTCTAAATTGTTCAATATGAGAATCAGTGACAACTTTGGTAAATATCTTGTCTTTCCTATTTTGCGACAGAAGCCAAAAGTCGCTGATTATTAATTCATTCTTGATAACATGCGCAACAGATTATCTAATTGGAAATCAAAGTGTTTAAGCATGGCCGGTAGAACTACCCTTATCTCCTTGACCCTCAATACTATTTCCAATCATGCCATGCAATATGCTCTTCTCCCACAAAAAATTCTGAATGTTATTGATCAAATCCAAAGAAATTTTATATGGGATAGCACTTAAAGTAATAAGAAACTCCACTTGGTTAGTTGGAAGGTAGTTACTAGTAGTAAATCCAATAGGGGGTCTGGGAATCAAGAAGGCTAAGTCAAAAAATTTGTCCCTCCTTACAGGTCTTACATGGAGACTACTAAACTTTCCTCATTCTCCTTGGTCCAAGTTCCTTATTGTTAATCATGCTACGAAGGCCAGGAAAGCTAACACTTCTTTCATTTGGAGTGTTGTCATAAAAGGCTGGTACTATTATAATAAAGGGATCATTTGGACTATCAATGAAAGGTCTGTGATTGACATTTGGAATTCCAGATGGATTCCTAACACTTCTTGTCTAAGAAATTCCATTCAATGGCCTCTCAACAAGAGTGATCACAATCTAAAAATTAGAGATCCAAGGAAGAAGAATTTATGAAATTTTTCTAAGTTGTCTTTTGACCTCCCCAATTGTATTACCGATAACATTATGACCTTAAATCTACCTCAATATGATTATACTCCTGACATTCCTATTTGGTCAGTTAGTAGCAATGGCAGGTTTACTATAAAATCATGTTACACTCTTATTGATGGTCATGAGGAAACTGACAAAGATTTCACTTGGATTTGGCATCTCAACTGTCCCAACAAGATAAAATTTCTCCTGTGGAGGTGTTTTCATGATAAACTACCATGTAGATCTTATCTTAGGCATATTGGTATGAATATTGACGCTACTTGTCCAATGTGCAAGATTGAGGATGAGACCATTATGCACATTTTCCTATGACTAATGCATTCTGGAAGAATTTAGGCATTACTCACCTCTCATTCAATGGTATAACCCACTGGCTTCTTGTAATAAAAAAACTTGAATCTTATGTTAAAACACAAATACCTTGACTGGGAGGATCTTTTTCCTTTTGTTATCTGGAATATCTGGATGAATAGAAACAATAACAATCATAACAATACTAACCATGCTCCGTCCTCTAAGATCATTTTTCAACAGGCTATGGAATACAAACTCCTCACAGACAAGGAGTCAAACCCAAATACAAAGAAGGCCATCAGAATAAGATTGCATATGCCCCCTGATGGTTGGTACAAACTTAACATAGATGGGGCATTCAAAGCTAAGAAGTTGCATTGTGGTCTAGGTGGAGTAATTCGCAACAGCTCGGGAGATTGGGTTGTTGGTTTCAATAATTACACACATGCAGCAACCCCTCTCCAGGAAGAACTATTGGCTCTGAAACATGACCTTAAACTCGCATGGGATCTCCAGCTGAAACCCTTGAAAATCGAAACAGACTCAAATGATGTGCTCAAATGCCTTGATCGTGGTTATCCAACGTAAAATACCATTATTCGTGATTGCATGTGGTTGATGCTTCAACTGGAGAAGGTAACAGTCAGGCATAATTTTAGGAAAGCAAACCAAGTGTCGCACCTTTTAGCGAAGGAAGCTTCCAAGCAGTCCAACCTAAACCAAGTCAAGAATTTTGCTCTTCCTCCTCCCTTTGTTGAAACTCAGTTTTTGGCAGATAGAGGTGGAACTTCCTATGTCAGACTACTTTCGGATAATATATGTACTAAGTTGGCTGAACTTGGCAATCATAATGCCGTAAGTGGCATATCTATGGCATGTAATGTGACTAGTTCTTAGTATTAATAATAAGTATTCCAATTCCTCAAAAAAAGAGAATTGGAAGAATGTGTGGGATATGCGAGAAGCCCATAATAAACATGATCATGATTTGGGCTGGGACTGTAACTGGGCCAAAAGCCCAAAAGTAAGCAGGAAAAAAAAAAGAAAAAGAAAAGACATGAGTTGAAAATCTTTATCGCAATCACTGTCATTACTGACTTATTGCAGGAACTTGAAATTTTGTTACCAAGTATACACTCAACATGCATATTTTCTCATCTAAGAAAAAAATTAAGATAGAAGTAAAGCCAACTCCAATTTAGGAGCCTACGCGACATATGTACCTAAATAAACAACAGTAATTTTATTACCATTAAAATGATACAAAAATATATACTTTCTCCGTCCCAATTTAAGTTACTAAATATAAAAAAATATTATTTTTTCAGAACTGACTAAAGATAAAAGAGTGTCATATAAATTAGGAAGGGGAAGATACAAAATACACCCTCACATGCTTACCAGGTGAGGGAACTCACCCCATGTGACAAGATTTTTTTTGTGTTTAAACGGCACATTAGAAATGAGGGTGAAGTGTCCAAAAGGACCAAAGCTAAGATGAGGTGTTAAAATAAAATAAAAAAATTGGAGTCAATTTAGAGGGGTTGAAAATTCCGCCAAGGAGAGCTTCTATAAGACTGAAGGACAAGACAACTAGTATCCCTATCATATTTACATAGTCAAAAGATATTCCAAGAATATTTTACATTTGCCAAGATAAATTCACAAAATTGGGATGAACCTATAAATCATTGCATAAATAGTGGTGATGGTTGTAATTACTATGGAAATATGCAGTGAGATGCATAATCGCGCTCTACTCAACCCTTGCCATAAATTAATAAGAGAGACTGCCGAGGAAATGAAGTTGGCATTGAAAACGAGAGGGAACTCTATCGTCATAAGGTAGGTTTGCGTACACACTACCTTTCCCAGACTCCACTTGTGGGATTACACTGGGTTTGTTGTTGTTGTTGTAGTAGTAGTATTGAAAACGAGAGGGAAGAACTTAGTGTGCCAACAAGATCAACTCCTCATCTTCTTACTTGATTTTAATCCAGAATGGTTTTTGTTTCTTTTCTTGCCACTCTTTTCAGTCTCCGGCTCGGAATGCTTCTCAAGCTTGAATTTGTTGGATTTTACACTGATTACACCACCAGGAACTATCTTCCCACCACCATTCTGGAGAGCATTTTCAAAATCAGCTTCTCTGTCCACTATAGCGAACTGCTGAAATAGTTCTGGATTCAACAAACCGTCCGACTTGGCTTTCATCTCATCCTACATATGATCTTAGGTAAGTAGAGAACTTTCCAAGCGGGGGAAAACTTGCAGAGACGATGGTAAGCATTTTCAAACCTGGACTTTCTTTGCAGCATCGCGGAGATCTTCATCCACAGATATAGAATGTGGTTCCGTCTTAATCTAAAAACAAGCAAGAAAAGTGAATGTTCAGCAAAGACAGATGAGCAGAAGATAAGCAGTTACAGTGCCTCAACTGCTCTTTGATTAAAACTAAATTGTTCATATTTCGAGGCAAACTAACACGAGAAGTGTTGGAATATTTGCTTATGTTGACTAATTGATACACAGCATTATGACACATGCAGATATTGTTCGCTTGTTAATGTTAGATTATTTCAACTGCTCTTAGCATAGGACGTACGCGAGAGTGAAATATAACTCATCTACTTACCACTTTAAGCTGAGATACAGTTGAGTCAATTTCTTTTGATGTTAGATTATTTAGGTATTTGCAAAGCCTCTTCATGACTTTCATGAACAAGGACAATATCTGCTGCCTTTCCAAATTCATTTCTCCCTGTAAAATAAGAATTAAAAAGAGTAAACTCAGAGCACTGGAATTCATTAATGAAAGTACCTTATTTTGGATGCAAAGGAAAACTAGCCGCCTAAACAAAAAGGAGAAGGGTATTTCACTGTCCACGGTCTGACAGTGTAGAATAAACTATTAAAATAAACACTAGCAAGCAAGCAAACCTCTATTTCAGGGATGTCTTTGTGCTGCAGGCCATAGCAAAGCAAAAGCGAAGCCTGGGCATATGAAAGTGATACTGGCAAATGCTCCAAAAAATACATGCGCGCAAGTTTTTGAGCAACATCTCGAATCTGTGAAAAAATAGCTCATGCAAATATTTAACATGGAAAATATGCAAAAAACCAAATGTCAGGCGCTTTTGAGATATTTAAATATCGCAGAATTAAAGGAAAGGTAGTTTTATCCTCCTTAGATGTTATGTCCACACACAAAATATTGGGCACTTTTGAAGGGTTTTTGTGCGGCGGCCACATCTTTTACCCCTTTATTTCTTTCCCCTGTTATATTATTGGTCTTTCTAATTCTATGCACCGGATAACATGACCCTTTGTGATCTCCATGCTTAAAATTCTTTAGATATCAAATATCTAATTATAGGATTTTCTTCCCATGTATCAAATTAGAACTTCAACCTTTATAACTGAAGACCTAGACACAAAACAGACAAAGAGAGGACAACGATACACCTGCTATTAAATTATAAAGAAATATAACAGACATATTTCACATATCATTTTTGGTTCAGAATTTTCTTGTTGCCAAAAGTAATATGTACCAATATGAGTTACCTAAAAGTGAATTCCAGTTGATTAATGGTGTTTCAAATTGGAGAGATGCACAACTTTAAGCTCTTTTTGGTGTTTCAAGTTGTTCAGGCATGTTTACCACTATGTTTTTCTTCTTAATCACAAGCTCAATATGATTGTAGATACTGAAACATACATCTCAATAGTGCACCAGAGAATATTCTATCACTACTTGATATAGCATATTTTCATCTCATCACCAATTGAGATCTAACCAGGAGAAGTCAATCAGGTTGTTTGAGTGGCTCAAAGTACTCAGGTTCTTTCTATAATATGACTGTTGGTAATAGGACGTCCACCGACTTAACACTGCATTACATGATATCTTGCTTCACTACTTAATATAACGTATTTCTTCCCTAAGCAACTCATTTCTTACCAAGGGATAGTCAATTAGGCTATTTGAGTAAGCTTCAAGCCTCTTCATCTCATGAGGTTCCAAAACAAACTTCATGAAGTTTAAGAATTCACTTGAAGCAGAAGCAGTAGGGTCCTGCTCGACAAAATTGATCTTCGGATCAAAGACACTGCACGATTATGGCCATCATAAGAATATGTAAAGAGACATACATATTAACTAAACACCAAAATATTCAATTTTACCTCATAGCAAGCTTGTAGTTCATCTTCCGGTAGGTAGAACCCAACAGTTCGACTAACCTTCGCTTGTATTCTGAGAATGTTATAGACAACATCAATATATCGAAAGAAAAAGAAGAAGAAAAGAACTAATAGAATAAATATTAGCTACTACAAGATCTGCAGCTAGTTAGATTGACGGGAAGCGGATAGAAAGGAAGGGAGATAAGAAAGTGAGGGGGCACCACATGAAAACTTGTATATCTCTGTTTTCTCCAAAATTTGAACCGGGGTGAGGAAGACAATTTTCACCTCCTCGATGAGATATTTTATAATTCCAGAGGTTGCTTGTAATAAGAAGTCACTACTCTCTTGACAATGTAAAAAAACTAGGGAACATATATTAGGAATCATAAAATTTGTGTTCCTTTTTATCATTGCAAAAGATTCTTCCATCTCCTTTAAATTTTCGAGAAGAACAAAAGCAACTGATACCTCGGTAGTAGGGACCATAAAAGCCACACGCATCTGACCCAGCAGCTTCAACATCATCATTTTTCAATGCCTTCAAGACCATGCATGTGTATTCACCAGTTACGCTGTTCTGATTCATCCAATCATATGTTATCCAATCATATGTTTGATCACAATTAGTCCTCAATAGCAAACATCTAAAGAGAATTTCAGGAACAAAGGACTCCGAGACTTACCGGGGCATTGCCTATGAAAAATGGAGCAAACTTATGTTTTCTCCAAAAGCGGAAGAGATCCAATGTAAGTCCAAATGAGACCCCAAGGTAATGGAGCCTTTCAGGCCGTCTTTCACGTAATGGGACAAGCAAAGGAGGAAGATCTGTTCTTGATGTTATATTTTCTTCGAGCAAAGAGAACTGAAAGGAAGGTAGTTTGAATTCAAGAACAATTACCTAAAAAGGTTCTAATTCCAAATAGAAGTTTTCTAGATTTTTCAACCATCTCACTTGCCATATTACAGATAATGGTCAATCAGAAGGCCTTAACATGATATATCATGCACTACAAAGTGCTATGCAGACAAACCACATCAACATGAAGCAACGACAGATTCAGTGAGTAATAGTATTATGATTTAACATTGTTAAAAATTAGTACCTTTTGCAGTTTTCGAACACCCAAATGATAACAGGAAAGCCCGTAACCTAAAGCACAAGTTGCAAAATTAGATCAAATAGGAATACCTTCTCTGCAGCTTCAGTTACATTGACTTGCGGAGTCTCCAGAGCATCTTCTGTCTCTACTTCAGATAATTGAGTCAACTGACCCTCAAAGTACCTATTAACAGTAAATTAACTTATTGTGCCTCAAAAATTCTATGTAGGAAAGATAAGCAATAACCTACTACGTGAACGACGAATAGAAGGGAAAAAAACAGAGTGGAGAAGAACTGGCTTTTAATTTTTGATGGGCTGCATATATATATAGAGAGAGACATATACATATATACGACTTTCGCTAACCTACTACATGGTTGTAGCAGGTTTCCTTAAATACCCTGCCAACACATTAAATAATAACAATGAGAGGGCTTTTTGGTCTTTCTACCTAAATTTAAACCCAATATTTTTATCCACTATGTTTTTTTCCCTTCTCTCTGTCGTCCATTGTGAAACCAAAGCAACACCTGGGGCCCGGGGTTGTTCCTTTAAGCAGTGGTTTCAGCATGTATTAAGACTGTCATTAACAAGTTGTGTAATGAATGAGATAATGCTTGTTCTGATAAACACCAGAGATACTTGGAGAAGCTGAAATCGATGAAGGAGATACACTTTGCGGAAAATGGTGTATTTGGAAAATTTCTCAACTGAGGGGGGTGGAAGGAGGGCACCGACACAGAAGTTGAGACCATAGATAATTTTATCAAATGATTTGGGTGGAGAGCGGTACTTTCTAATTCTTTTATAGGACGGAATTAGCAGAGGTTAATTTGAGTTTCTTGTTCAATGTGTATATATGCGTGTGTGTCTGTGTTTGGGGGGGAGGGGAGGGGGTGTTTGGTGTTTGCTAACACACTATTGTGCTATAGCCCACGCCATTATCATATAAAGACATTCCTCAGCATATATTTCTTGTAAAAAGATAGAGTGATGAACTGGTTACGAGGGTATTTTTGTAAACAAATAATTCTTTTAAAAATTGTGCAATGCTTTAATAAATCAAACCAAGCAATGGATAAGAAATATGTCAGCATAACTAATGCAAACATACATAATACAAGCATTACTAATACAACCCATTCAGCATTATTCTTATGCACCCTACCAAACGACCCCTACATGAGTGTAGTAGCGAACACCATCCTTATCAAAAGTGAGGACGTTTCTGTCCTTTCATTAGATAAATTAAAACCAAACACACCCTCCTCTATTCTTCGCTCATCCCTCCCGCCTTCTTCTTTCTCTACCCTTGTGAATTCCTCCGCTCCGCCAGCTCCAATCATGTTTCAGTTCAAGTTTCTCTATTCTCACATTAGAGCTCATAAAAATTAAAAGCCACAAATTCAAACAATATTTTGGTGTCAAATGGTAATCATTGAAAGATGAATGCCGCCCATTTACAATAAATTGAAGTAATTTATGTGAAGTAAAAATTGAGAAAAATCAGAAAATAACATAACGGGGGAGAAATAAAGGGTAAATGGGCTTACTTTCAGTATAAACATATGAACTGAAAGGATGGAATTACTTAGAATTGTCACATCATTCACCGGAGGATTAAAGTGTGTGATAATGGCTTGAACTCTCTTTCTCTTTAGGGCATTTCTACTTAAAACCTCTCTTTCTATTTTGCTTCTCCGAGGATTGAAGGGATCTGAAGTGATTACCATTTAGCTTCATAGTCCCTTTAACTTGACTTTTTTTTCCTTTATATAGTTTTTCATGAAATTCTTGATGATTACCCATGAACAAACTATTCTTAATGATTACCCAAACAAAGAGATTAACTCTTTTTTTATAGAATGATAACAGTAAAACAAAGAGTTTACTCTTAAGTTCAATGTGTGGGAGAATAGGGCTTCTTGCTATCCAAAAGCTACCTTGATAGCATGAGGGAGGGAAAAGGTTTATTATGTTAGCTTCCAGATGATGAGAAGTTGTCTCCATTTTAAATAATTAGTTGCCTTGGTGATGGATGAATTGACTCGACATATTCAAGGGGAGGTACCCTGGCCTATATTATTTGCAAATGACAGTAATGATTGACGAGACACGCGGCAGAGTTATCGATAAATTGGGGGTTTGGAGATAAACCCTAGAGTCTAAAGGTTTCAGGTCGAGCAGGACTAAAACAAAGTACATGGGTGCGAGTTCAATGACGCATCACATGAAGCGGATGGGGAAATGAGGATTGATACACATGTCATTTCCAGGAGAGGAAGCTTCAAGTATCTTAGGTCAATAATTCAAGGAAATGGGGAGATCGACGATGATGTCACACATCGTATTGCAGCGGGGTAAATGAAATGGAGACTTGCATCTGATGTCCTATGTGATAAGAATGTGCCACCAAGACTTAAAGGTAAGTTATATTTAGTGGTTATTAGACCAACTATGTTGTATGGGGCAGAGTGTTGGCCAATCAAGAACTCACACGTTCAAAAGATAAAAATAACGAAAATGAAGATGCTTAGATGGATGTGTGGGCATACTAGGAGAGATAAGATTAGCAACGAAGATATACTAGGCAAAATGGGAGTGGCCTCCGTGGTGGACAAAATGCGGAAAGCGAAGCTAAGATGGTTTGGGCATTTGAAGAGGAAGAGCATTGATACCCCAGTGAGGAAGTACAAGAGGTTGGCAGTGATAGGTCTAAGGAAAAGTAAAGGTAGACCGAGGAAGAGTTGGGGAGAGGTGATTAGACAAGATATAACACATCTTTAGCTCAACGAGGACATGAAGCTAGATAAGAGAACATGGAGTAGAAGGTTAGTAGGTAGTCGAGCATTTTCTCTCTTTTCTGTGGGAGACATGGTTCTAGTTTAGAGCACCTTATCTGCTCCCTCTTCGTCTTATCAGTGTTATTATTATTATTATGTTATTATTATCTTATGCTTCAAATTTATTACTACTGTTGTTTCTTTTACTTTTGTTACCTTTACTATTTTTGTTGTCAATACTTTCTTTTATTCAGTATTTTCATCTCAACTTTTTTTACTTTTGTATTTTTTAAACCTGTTTGAAAACGTTTTTCTTGAGCCGAGTGTCTATCACAAGCAGCCTCTCTACCTCACACAAGGTAGGGATAAGGTCTGCGTACACACCATTCTCCCCGAACCTCACTAGTGAGATCACATTGGATACGTTTTTGTTGTTGTTATGGTTCCAACCTACTACACTCTGCCCCCCCCCC